AACACATTTTGATACCTACATGAAGGCTGCGTTGCAACGTTGATGAATAACGATCAATCTGCAGAACACCTCATAACATGGACAAACTGAGGACTTTATGCTAGGTGAAATGATTCAATCACAAAAGGACAAATATTGTTAAGACCAATGTTGTAAAAGTAAGAAAAGGTTTTCTTAATAAACAATCTATGGTAGTTATGGGGGGATAAGAAAAGAGGGAAAATTATTCATAGGCTGGAGGGTAGACACATGTTAACATGGTTGACAGGGCAGGCAATATACAAGAAAGAGGTTAGCAGAGGAAAGAGGAAGATAGTGGGAGACACAGGGAAGAATGCAATAGTTAAAGTTGTTGTTAAGTGCAATCAAGTCAGTTCTGACTCATAGCAACCCCATATAGGTTTTCAAGAACCAGTTGGTGGTAGGTTTGAACAGCTAACCATTTGGTTCACAGTCCAGTCCTGATCCTACAGTGCCACACCAGGCAGGACTCTATTTAAAGTGAATAGTGGTAAATACTGTTAACTAATGGTACATGGAGGGGATTGCAATCCTAGTAATAAAGCAAAGTATATGATTTGCTAAATGTAAAACTGATAATTTACTCTGTAAACCTTTACTCAATTCATAATAAGAAGTATAAAAAACAAAAGGTTTGCTGGACTTTTGAGCTAGATTTAGGTTTCAGCTCTGCTACCTAAATTGGTTTGTGATCTTGGATGAACTGCTGAATATTTCAGTAGTAAATCAAAGGATCTTCATACCTAAATAGAGAATTACCATAAGCATTGGGGATATACCATGCCATTGTCACTAACAAGAGAAAACCACCCATAATTACTATTTATTTTCACATAGATGCATGTGAAAGAGTTGGAACTTTTCTATATTTTGAATTCAAATATATAGGCATTGTGTGGAGCGAAGGTTATATACTGGGAAACTTATCTACATATATAACACTTTATTACATCCCTTTAACATGAAAGGAAGGAGCTCTGGTAGCGTAGTGGTTACGAATCAGGCTGCAAACCTAAGGTCAACAGTTCGAAACTACCAGCTGTTCTGCAGGAGAAAGATGAGGCTTTCTGCTCCCGTAAAGATTTACAGCCTCGCAAACCCGGTATAGGGTCTCTATGAGTCGGTTCCGACTCCACGGCACATAACCACCACCACCATGACAGGAGTCTCAAGGATAGTGAGCTAGTGGTGGTGGTGGTGGTGGTGGTGGTAGTAACCTCTTTTTTTACCTTTTGTGCTTTGCTCTTTGAAGATATTGGGTTTACAGATGTAACTAAAAGGACTCAAAATGACTAGTGGTTCTACCATTGTGTACTTGTTAATATATTTAAATGATTTATAACCATAGGTAATTTCTGAGAGGCATGTTGTTTCCCAGCATTTCGATTTCAGACTTTGAAACCTTTATTCAAAACATGCCAACCTGTTCCTAATTTCTTCAACTGCATTGGTCTGTTCAAAGATTTCATTTTATTTTCTGACTCCATTTTGGTAGACTAACCATTCATATTCTTTCTCCTTTTTCTTTTCTTTTGACCACTGACCCTCTCAGCAAAGTCTATGTAATTTGGATGGCAAGGAAGGTAACAAATAACTGAACTTCATGTTAGGATTCCCTTCTATTGCTATCCTGTGTTCCCAGTCCCTAGCCTGCTAGTATAAACATTTTAATTATTAATTTTAATTTTGTGGTAAAAATAACATGAAATTTACCAATTTGAAGTGTATAGTTTAGTGCTAAGTACAGCAGTCGCCATGTTGTAAAAACATCATCACTATCGATTTCCAGAACTTTTTAATTATCTCAATCAGAGTTTCTGTTTGAGATGATAAAAATAACTATTCATTTCTCACGTAACCTAGTACCATCTATTCTACTTTAGGTCTCTCTGATTTGCCTGCCCTGGTGTGGCGCTGTGGGTTAATGTGCTGGACTGCACAGTTGGTTTGAACAGCAAGGTAGGCAGTCCAAGTTCACCAGCCACCCCTAGGAAACCCTATACAGGGTTGCTATGGATTAGAACTAACTTAATGGCACTTAACAACAACAGACATTTCATATAAGTGGGGTCATACAGCATTTGTTGCTTTGTGCCTTATTTTACTCACATAGTGCTACCAAAGTTCATCCTTGTTATAGCCTTATCAGAAGTTCTTTTCTTTGTATTGTATGGATATACCCCATTTTGTTGATCCGTTCACCTGCTGATGAACACTTGGGTTGTTTTCACCTTTTGGCTACTGTGAATATTGCTATAATGAGCATTGGTGTGCAAGTATCTGTTTCAGTCCTTGGTTTGATTTTACAGTCTAACACATTACCCTGCAGCGTCACACCAGGACTCCTTTATTTTGATTAGGAAACCAAAATAAAGGAGTCCAGGTGTGACACTGCAGGATAATGTGCTGGACTGCAAACTCGGTTAGAATGCAAGGCTGGTGGTTCAAGCTCACCAGTCGCTCCCTGGAAACCCTATACAGGGTCTGTTTGAGAACTGACTCCACAACACTTAACAACAACATGCAAAATATAGGAAAAATAACAAAATTAACTTTTCATTAATTGCTTAAGTTTTTAGCAATATACCATATTTAGAGTATCATTTGCTATTTACTGCTTTTCAACTACTGGTATTGCTAGTATTCACATATTTTGGCACTAGGGCTATGTTCAAATCACCATAAAAAATTTTTTAACTAGGCCTATTTCCTCTCTAAGTGTTCCATATTCTCACCATCATTATCTCCTTTTAAAACCTTTAACCAGTTTAGTTTTCTTCTTCTTTATTGTGTTTTATTGTGACTTGAGTCAGAGCTTAGTATTATTAGTTATTCTTTTTAGGTTACTTTTTATTTTTCCTGGTCTGCTCTCATGATTCTTTCCTAGTTTTTGATTTTGGGACCATGCCTGACTTCCCCTGGCTTCACAAGGGGGATGTCAGACTTCAAACTGAAAGAAAAAAACTGCCAACCAAGAATCCTTTATTCAGCAAAGCTATCAATCAAATATGATGGTGATATCAAAACATTCCAGGATAAACAGTTGATGACATGGAGGGATGAAGCGGCTGGGGACTTTAGATCTCCAGAGAGGGAGAGGAACTGTGGGCCGAAGACTGAGGGGGGAGGGGGGAGTGTAGAGCACGGGCTTCTAGGATATGCCCTTTGGTCGGAAGACGAGGCATGGAGGGGATTGGAACCATGGCAATGGAATGATATACAATGGAATGAATATGGAACTGAGGTTCTCTCATGTAAATTATCATATAATTCATAATAAAACATTAAAAAAAAACAACAACTTTCTCAATCATGTCTATTTCTGCGGGTCCATTATAAAGATTTATTGATAATGCATCAAGCTCCTTTTTGTTGCTGTTGTAGTTGTTAGGTGCCATCGAGTCAGTACCGACTCATAGCGACCTATGTACAACAGAAGAAAACACTGCCTGGTCCTGGGCCAACCTCACAATTGTTGCCACACTTGAGCCCATTGATGCTGCCACTTTGCCAGTCCATCTTGCTGGGGGTCTTCCTCTTTTTCTCATTGCATCTCAAGGTAAAGAAAACAAAAATCCTTACCACTGGACCAATAAACAACATTCTTATCAGTGGAGAAAAGATTGAAGTTGTCAAGGACTTCATTCTTCTTGGATCAACTATTAACATTCATGGAAGCAGCAGCCAAGAAATCAGACAGCATATTGCATTAGGCAAATCTTCTGCACAAGATCTTTTTAAAGTGTTGAAGAGCAAAGATGTCAACCTGAGGACTAAGGTGCGCCTGACCCAAGCCATGGTATTTTCAATAACCTCATATGCATGTGAAAGCTGGACAGTAAATAAAGAAGACCGTAGAAGAATTGATGCTTTTGAGTTATGGTGTTGGAGGAGACTATTGAAAGTGCCATGAGCTACCAAAAGAACCAACAGCTCTGTATTGGAAAACGTGCAGTCAGAGTGCTCCTTGGTGGCTAGGATGGCCAAACTTGGTCTCTCATACTTGAAACATATTGTCAGGAGGGACCAGTCTCTGGAGAAGGATATCATGTTTGATAGGGTGGAGGGTCAGAGAAAAAGAGGAAGACCTCCAGCGAGATGGATGGCAAAGTGGCAGCATCAATGGACTCAAGCATGGCAATAATTGTGAGGTTGGCCCAGGATCGGGCAGTGTTTCGTTCTGTTGTATATAGGGTTGTTATGGAGTCGGTACTGACTTGATGGCACCTAACAACAACAACAACAAAGGGAATGATGACACTTAACAACAACTACAAAGAGAACGAGGCAGAGTTCTGGTGTGGCGCTGTAGGATAAACACTGGACAAGGTGGGCAGTTCAAACCCACCAGCCACTCCTTGGAAACCCTATTCAGGGTCTCTGTGAGTCAGAACTGGCACTTAACAAGCAAAACCAAAAAGAGAATGAGACAAACAACCCTGAAAGAGATAGAGAATTAAGGGTATGGCCTGGTCTACGTATTTGCATTTCAGCGGGTTGCCCATAGTTTATCTGGAAAGACCAAGTTCTGTGGGGAAGTTTCCAGCATCAGATATTAGTGGAGGCAAGGAAGGAGAGGCTCTCTTGGGACACCTGTGCCTTCCTGTTGTGGGATGCTGCCCTCTCTACCTCTCCACCATACCTGTTCTGCTATGTTCTGTGCATGCAAGCCTTATTTATCATGCTGTCCTTTTTTACTATGGAAGCCTCCACATCTTCTTAACAAAACCAGTTTATTTTTTATGTGAACAGACAGTTGACTTACAGGTTCACATCACAAAATGTCAGAGCTAAAAAGCATCCGTCTAAGCCTTTTTCTTTTATAAATGATGCTTTATAGCTTTCTTTTTCTATATTTTATTTTCTTGTGTTCCTGGGATATTTTGATAACTGTGGCATTGTTTTCATTTTTCAACTGGGACATTTTAGAAAATGTTTAGTTTATGGACTAAAAAAAATGTGATTTCTTTTCCTTTTAGATCTTATCTGGACTTTCTTGGGAACCAGCAATGAGCTTTGCCTTTGACAATGTTGGCTATGAAAGCAGTCAGGACACTGTGCCGCCTCCCTCTCAGGCAGCCACCGGCACAGTCAGCATTCTGGGCATGACTTGCCAGTCATGTGTCGAGTCTATCGAGGGCAAGATTTCCAATTTGAATGGCATTTTGAGCATTAAGATTTCCCTGGAACAGGGCAATGCAACTGTGAGATATGTGCCATCGGTCATAAGCCTGAAGCAGATCTGCTGTCACATTGGGGACATGGGCTTTGAAGCCAGCATCGCTGAAGGAAAGGCTGCCTCCTGGCCTTGCAGGTCCTTGCCCACTGGGGAAGCTGTGGTCAAGCTTCGGGTAGAAGGCATGACCTGCCAGTCCTGTGTCAGCTCCATAGAAGGCAAGATTGGGAAGCTGCAGGGCGTAGTGCGAGTCAGAGTATCACTGAGCAACCAGGAAGCAACCATTGTCTATCAGCCTTATCTTATTCAACCCGAAGACCTCAGGGACCATGTTAATGACATGGGGTTTGAAGCTGTCATCAAGAACAAAATGGTCCCCCTAAGCCTGGGGCCGATTGACATTGGACGATTACAAAGCACTAACCCAAAAAGCCCTTCCGCTCCTGCTCAGGGTCTCAATAATCCTGAGACCCCATGGGACCAAAAAAGCAATGGAGTCACCCTGCAGCTGAGAGTTGATGGAATGCACTGTAAGTCTTGTGTCATCAATATTGAAGAAAACATAAGCCAACTCCCAGGGGTTCAAAGTGTTCAAGTGTCCTTAGAGAACAGAACTGCTCAAGTACAGTTTGAGCCTTCTTGCATCTCTCCAGTGTCCATAAAGAAAACCATTGAAGCTCTTCCACCTGGGAACTTCAAAGTTTCTCTTCCTGATGATTCAAAAGAGAGTGAGACAGAATGCCTGCTAGATGTCAGGCCTTCTGGATCCCATCCCTCTGGCTCCTCCCCAAGAACCCAGGAGCCTGGAGCACACAGCACTATGGAGCTTGCCATTGCTGGTATGACCTGCACTTCTTGTGTCCAGTCCATCGAAGGCGCCATCTCCCAGAGGAAAGGGGTGCAGCAGATATCAGTCTCTCTTACTGAAGGAACTGGAACTATTCTCTTTGACTCTGCTCTAACTAACCCAGAAGAACTCAGAGCTGCTGTGGAAGACATGGGATTTGAGGCTTTCATTATCTCTGGTACGTGGTGGACATGTTTTTAGTGTATCCTGGGGTTGTCTCCTTTGTTCTTTTTGTCTTACAACACTGTGTATGGGTGATTGGAGAGCTGAGCCACACTCACTCTTTACATGTCGATATTGCTAGCAAAAATCTGTAATTTTCAGTATGTGTTAAGTTTGTTAGGATAGAAGAAATAGAATGTTGTGGTTTGTAAGGTATGCCTCTCAAGTAGCTGAGACTAGAAAGCTGTGTTCCCTGGATTTTTTATTTCCTTTCCATAGAGAATTCAAAACAAACAGTAAAAACTACAACAGAACCTTAGTTTCCACTCTTGCAGACCATTTTCTTAAAAGTGAGAATTAAAAGATAAAATGATATCCCTTGTCCTCTTTGATAGTGATAAGGGAGGTGGGGGAGACAGGCACGACAGTCTAGATAAAGCAAGGTGCCCTCAAACCTAAATGTCATAACCCTAAGTCATATTTCCTAGCATGGTAGGGGTTCCCTGGTCCCTTTTCTCTCATTGGCCAGCCAGCCAGTGACCATTGTTTTCTCTTCCATTTCTCGTTTTCTCTTCCATTCCCTGCCTTGAGAGTGTTACAAGTACAATGCCATTGGAACACTTGTGCCTTTCTGCCACATGTCAGTTCCTGTGCTAGTTGTGGGGTTACTGATGAGTAAGGCCTGGCCTTGTCGACAGCTTCTGCAAAGCGAGGCTGAGAAGTAGACCATGATAGTGCAGTGGGACATGCCCTAGACTGGAGGGATACAGGCCCTGTGTGAGCCCAGATGATGGCTCACAAAGGGCTTTTCTGGGAGGATGCTCCAGAGTAGCCTCTCGCAGGATGAGTGTGAGTGAACCAGGTGAGGAGCAGGACTAAGGACGGGTGAGGACAGTGGGGACACAGAGATTGTCCACACAGCAGGACAAACCTCAGTGAGACAGGAGGCATGGTGCGTGGAGGAAGCTGGGTCCAAAAGGCCTGAATGTGAGGGCTGTTGAGACATGAGGCCAGGCAAGTGGAGGTGTACATCCATAGGGACCTGTGTGCCAAGCTGAGGGGATTGTGTTTTAGAAGACCAATCTGATGTTGGGATACAGCGTGGATTAGAGGCTGTGAGCCACTTACAGAGCTGGGTGAGAAATTCCATAGGGCAGGAGAGCAGGGAATTTGAAAGACATCCTGGAAGTAACATTCACCAAGCATGATGTTAACTTAAGAGTGTGGTAGAGAGATGAGGTGGGAATACCTGCGTTGTGCAAATGGGTAAGCACTTGACTATAACCCTAACAGTTGGTGATTCAAATGCATCCAAAAGTGCCTCGAAAGAAAGTCCTGGCCATTGAAAACCCTCTGTAGCTTAACAAATGAGGTCATTATGAATCAGAATCCAGTCAACAGCAACTAGTTTGTTTGTTATGGTTTGGCTCTGTGGGAGAAAGATGAGGCAGTCTGCTCACGTAAAGATTTACAGCCTCAAAAACCCTGTGTTGGGTCACTATGAGTTGGAACCGACTCCACAGCACATAACAACAACAACATCAAGATATGGGAAGGCCCATGGAAGAAATGAATTGTCTAGAAGGAGTCTTCTGAGATGCTAAGGGTAGTAGAATATATTCATCTTGAATTCAGGGGTTGGGAGAATGGGGCTGGAAATGCAGTAAGATAAGTACTGGACTGCTGACTGCAAGGTCAGAGCCACTCATCAGAAGCCCTTAATAGGGTTTCTATGCATCAGAACTGACTTGACAACACTTAAAAATGACCACAACCATGTGTAAGGAGAGCTGTGAGAGACAAGAAGACCCAGTTAGAGTGAGAGATGAAAGGAGCAAGGAAGATCTCGGGGCACTGGTGTGAAAGGAAGAGGTGTGTAGAGGAGGAAAGTCTCCAGACCAGCGACCTGAGAAAACCTGAAAAGGGTGGAGTCCTGGAAACAAAGGTGAAAGTTTCAAGGAGGGAGTTTCAGGTGCCACAAAGAAGTCATGGAAAACCACAGCCTGAAAATGTCAGTTTAAGCCGTTTGCTAGTCTCTAGACATTTGCATTGTCTACTAGCAGAAGGATGGTAATGTCAGAGTTCAGGCTTCAGAAAAAGTTCAGAAAAGCCAGCCTACATAGGTGGGAAGGAGATAGAGGTACCTATTAGCGTAGCCAGGGCAACATTGAGAATGGGGATAAATGTTGTTGTTGTTGTTAAGTGCCTTCGAGTCGGTTCCGACCCATAGCGACCCTGTACAGGGTTTCCGAGGGTGTAAATCTTTACAGGAGTAGAAAGCCTC